GTTGTAATTCAAATAGGTTATATCTGAGTTTGATCAGTTTTACTTTTTTTAAATAATTTTTGCTGGATGTTTAGTTTGAACAAATTGAAAAACGTTTCTGATGAAATAAGAGCCAATCCACTGAACAATGATTTCTAATATATCATATGAAAATGATTTTCGATTCATGTAAATTGTCTTCAAGGTTTGATTTTTGTTTTTTTTTTTGTTACAATTTAGGCATGAAGGCCAATTTTTTTGTGTTGGTATTCTGTTTGTGTTTTGCTCGGATTTTCTTGATTGTATGATTTTATTACCGAACTGTTCTGGAAAGCTTGAAAACTACTTGTTTTGATTGTTAGCCAATCCTTCTTTGATTCCAATAAGAACTCTTTTTCTCTGACTTTGAATAAATCATCTGTTCTTATATTTCGCTCTACTTATGATACTCTTGACTGTTATATTTGAAAACAGTGTTATTGGACCTAATGACTTAAGGGCCTATATACTGAACAATGTTTTCCGTTTTCTCTATGAACGCTTCGTTGTTTTTGATTTTGCGAGAGTTTTTAGTGATGATGATTTTTCAGCCAATCTTTCTTTAAATCTAATGAAAATAGACTATATCTGAGCTTGATCATTATACTTTTTTTGTAATTATTTGTTGCAAGTTTTTTTCCAAAAAATTGAAGAACGTTTCTGATGAAATAAGAGCCAATCCACTGAACAATGATTTCTAACCTATCTGATGAAGTTGTCTTTCGTTTTTTGTATTGGTTTTTGCAAGGTTTGGTTTTTGCTTTTTTGTTACTAGTTCGAAATGAAGGCCATTTTTATGTATGATTTCATGTTGGTGTTGTTTTATTGGCTTTTTCTGATTGCAGGATTTTTATTACCAATTCTGAGAAGCTTTCAGTCTAGGTGCGATCGTTATAAGCCAATCTTTGATTTCAATGAAATTTCTTTTTCTCTGAGTTTGATCTTTTCTTACGTTTTGCTGAATCCAATGGTCTTTTGACTGTTGTTTGAAAACAGCATTATTGGACTCAATGGTTTAGGAGACCATATATTGAACAATTTTTTCCGTTTTAACTAAGAACGCTTCATTTTTTGTGTTTTTGTGCGACTTTATTTCCATTGTTCAGTTTTCTAATTTATCTCTCTGAATGCTGTTTTCCGTCTGGCTTCTGTTTCTTGCATTGAGTGCGCGGTTGCACGATCTATTTATTGAACACATCTTAAGCCGTGACTAATTTTTTCAATGGTTTTTTTTCTGATGGTACAAGTAAAGAATCTGTAGTGGTAATGATTTTTCAGCTAATCCTTCTTTGATTCATGAAAATAGATTTTATCTGAGTTTGATCAAATTTACTATTTTTCTTATGTTTTGGTGCACTTTTAATTTCAAAAACTGAAAAGCGTTTCTGATGAAATAACAGCCACTTAAAAAAAGTTCGTCATGGAGGCCATTTTCTTATGTATGACATGAAGTTGTTATTCTGCTTTCTTGATAGGGTTAGGTTTTCGCTTTTTTGTTACAAGTTCGACATGAAGGCCTTTTATGTATGGTTTTTTGTTGGTATTCTGTTTTCTTGTTCGAAATTTTCTGACTGCATGATTTTAATTACTCAACTCTTCTTGAAAGCTTTAAAACTAGTTGTTATGATTATAAGCCAATCCTTCTTTGATTCTAATGGAAACTATTGTTCTCTGAGTTTGAATAAGTTTTTTGTGTTCCGCTAAAAGTAATGATTCTCGTACTGCTATTTTTGAAAAAATCTCATTGGATCTAATGATCTAGGAGCCTAAATATTGAACAATGTTTCCATTTTGTCTAATAACGCTTTTTTATCTTCGATTTAGTGCGATACCAGTTCCGTTGTTAATTTTTCCAATTTCGCTTTCTGAATGCTGTGTTACGTCTCGGTTTTGTTTGTTGCATGGTGTGCGGGGTTGCACGATTTATCTATTGAACACATCTCGATTCGTGATTCAATGTATTACTGGTTTTTCTTCTGAACATTGAAGTTAAGAATTTTTAGTGATGATGCTTATGAATGTATAAGAGCATATCCACTGAACAATGTTTTCTTATTTATCCAAAGAAAAGGGTTTTCGATTTATGTAAATCACCTTCAAGATTTGATTTTCGCTTTTTTGTTACAACTTCGATATGGCGGTCTTTTTACGTATGCTTTTGTTTTGTGTTGGTGTTCTTTTTTCTTGTTCGGAACGTCTTGATTGCGTGATTTCAATTACCTAACTGTTTTTGAAAGCCTGAAAACTAGGCTTTCAAGAACAGTCGCCTTCAAGAGTTGAAAAAATGATTTTTTTGACAATCAATGTGACTCTTTTTGAGAATTATAAAATATGTCTGAAAGGCAACGAATTTGACAAGGTGAGGTATTTTTCTGCTGTGAAATTAGAAGATAGAATTCTCCAAGTGCTCGTTGGCCGACCATGTTATGATTGTACAATTTTATCTGCCTGTATGGCATATTGCGAAACATGCTGCAAATCATTCTCGGTTCAGACTTCATTTGTATTTTGAAGACATGACGTGTGAAATGTTGGTTGTGATCTCCGTTTGATGTAATTGGCGATGAGTTTACTTAAGGGTCTTAAAGACCCCGTTACCTTGTTTTAAATCGCTTGCAAACCGGTCTTTTCTCAATAGAGGCACGAAATTGAAACGATTTAAGATCAATAAAACTCGCCCAAATAACTAATGTAATAGCATCTTTAACAACCATGTGAAATCTTTCTGTGACTGTCTGAGCTACTTGCTAATTTTGATCTCCGAAAATGCCTGCAAATGAATCTTCTTGTGTGTCCGATGAATACAGTTGTACTGTATGTTCGCCACCCCATACAGTGTTCATCGTGGGTGTGGTTTTTACCGTGATATCATTCATATTCATGGTTATTTCTTTCTGGGTCGGAAGATGCTCAGTCAAGCTTACAAGTGTTCGACGAAGGAAGAAATCGTTAATGAAGTCGTACAAGAGGCCGGATCTGTCAAAGAGAATTTCGAATCACTTTACACTCACTAGAACGAAAAGCAGAGATAGATCGGAGGTCGGGGATCGAACCTCGGCGGTTGGGTTGCTGAGAACGCCAGAAGAAATGCGCCAGCACAATCCACCGCGAGTTTCGAGGCCGAATACTGTACATGAGCTCAGTTTCAGAATGTCAGACGGGAGAAAATTATCAGCTGGACTTCTATCAACATCAACCGTTGATGTTGCGATTAATGCTTCGGAATCAGAACTGCCACTACTTAGAGCTGGCTTAATTCTCAGCTGATTATTTGATGTAGCTAGCTACTATAATTAAAATGCGTTTGTATCGAATAGTTTGTCCCCGATCACTCACGAGTTCAGGTGTTTTTGTTAGGAACAATCAGGTTCTACAATGAAGAAAGTTTTGAGCCTCATTAAAACATTTCTTCGGTACTCAATTTAGATTTTGAGTGATTTTTGAGTTCTCTTCCCTCTTTTGCTTTCGATTTTTGCGTGCCGTTTGATTGATTTTAAGTCATTCAATTTTATATCAGTGAATTGACAATGTAAATCTAATTGTATCAAACTTCTATCTACTTTTGCAGAAGAAAATTCAAAAAATGTATTTTTTTTTTGTTAGAATTTTTGCTAAGTAAGCGGCTGCACTGGTGTTTATTTGTAATAATTTGGGTTAACGAACAATCTTTTTTTAATTATTTTTTAAACGAAGTGAGTCAACGGTTGACTGGCGCAGAAGAATAGTTCCACGCTTAGAACAGACGATTTTGAATTCATCCCGGGAAACCGAATTGAGGCTGCTAATTTTCTGTACGAAGATAGCTCATCTCGAATAGCAGAACAAGATGCTGCAAGGAGAACTCTAAGACTGAGCTTGAACCCTTACGACGACAATGATGATGATCAGAGTGATCTTAAAAGGGGTACACGAGTGAATAGTGGTTCCCCGTTCATGTCTGACGTTTCACTGAGGCCCAAGGTTGTTTTACACGGGGAAGAGGCCATTCAAAAACGAATGAACAGATTATCGCAGGCTGCAGCGAAGGGATTCAAAAATTCAATGACACCCTGGGCTTCGTATTCAACTGATAAGCTGCCGCACAATGCGACTAACGCTCCTCTGATAAATGCGGCCATGAAAAATAAAGATATTACCGGTGGTGAATCAAGGTCTTCAAGTGTATCGTCGCCTCCGATGGCGCCAAGAAGATTCGAATCTTTGGCTGTACAAAACTGATTAAACAAGCGCAAGAAAAAAATATATAAGTTTTCAATTAGAAAACGACGATTTTACTTTTATGTCTTAAAGTATCAACCTTATAGCATGTTTCTCGTTTCATTTTTTGTCATGGCCACTTCAGCAGATGCTTATCTCACAAGAACCATCTCAATTTAGTTATGCACCTTCGGAAACAAATATCTTGTCCATGTTTCTTAACTATCTGTTTCGAAAATTTTTTCTGTTTCCTAAAGCCTGTGTTTTTTCCTGCATAATAGTTGAACTATTGTTCGGTTTTCTAACGGCGACTAATTCTTTACTTAAGTGTGATATCTATCCACTTGTTATTTAGTTTTGCATATAACGTTTGTTAGACGTGAAGTCACTTAGCCTATATACAAGTGGAGGATGTCTTATTTTTTTCAGGAAAAATTTAATCACGCCAAATTTTGTACTTAGCTTTTTGAATGATTGCTTTCAATTGAATTATTTTGATAAAAGGAGGGCAAATTGTGCTCTCCGATTATGAAAGCGGATATTGCTCGAAAAACTTGCACGACTTCTGGCTTCGATAGTGGATTTTAATTTCTAGATTTCACAGCGGAAGTAAAAATTTCATATTGATCTCTTTTTCTCGAATTGAGTCAATTTTGAGAAAAAATGCCAACGATAAACAGTTCTTAAAATCCAAAGAACTTTAAAGCCATTCACTTTTTTTGAAAAATTGAAACTTTTCCCAACTGTTTGTTGGCTATGTTTTCACTCTGAATGTGTATTTTTAGACGTTAGTCAAGCTAGTCGAAATCTTTTGGATCAGCTGATGAAGGAACAAGAAGAAATTAACCCTCACAGATACTCCTCCAAGCGCAGTGATGATCCAGAGCTGCAGATTGAGTACATGTGTGAACAGAATAGACCCAAAATGACAGCTCTGATGAATGACAACAAGCGACTGGTGGAGATTCTGGAGCGGAAGGACGCAGAGATTGACTACCTGCTGAGGACGAGGAGGGGCAATACTAGTGGAGCAAACAGTAACCAAGTGCCATCTACTAGAAGTCAAGATAGTATTAGGTACGTACATCTTTGAAGGGCTTGCTATTAACTAGTATCAGCCATTTTTTCGGCATCCTCCCATCAGAGCCGTCTAAATGAAGCAAAGGTAAGAAAATTCAAAGCCGACATGAAACATGGCTAGTAAAGCAGAGATCAGATAATGTTAGTTTTTTTATAATCAAGATAAGAGCAACTCGTTGACGACAAGGAAAAGGATGGTCTTAATAAGAGCACGAAGTGTTGTTGATTTGCTCGCACTTCTGTTTTTGCGGGGTATGATAACGTGTTTTCAATACGTCGGAACATACCTCCGCAATCATACCCTTTGCGGGGTGTCAATTCTTTGAGAGCTCGAGCTGCGAACAAAGAACGTCAATTGCTATTAAAATTCTTTTTCAGCTTTTCTGAAAGTCTCTCCAATTTGATTAGGAAATTGAACAAAAACACTGCATTAACACTTCTGAGATTAAACTTGGTTAACCTTTGCGCTAGAAAAGTAGAGAATTCGTTCTTTTGGATCATGTTACGTATCCCTAATATAGATATTGAGTTAAGCTATTTTTCAATAGACCGAAAACCTGTGTGCTCCGTGAAAACTTTTAATTATTGCGTTCATCGTGCTTCCTGAATTTCGTTTACGATATGATTTCAGCGAAGTGAATTCACTAATTTAGTCGTGTAGATTTTTGTTTGTTTTTCGCGTGTTTATTTCTGATTTTTTTTTCAACTTAGTTTCAAACTCAATTGTGTAATTTTCGTCCGCAAAGTACACAGCGTCGAGAAATAAACCCTAATCCTACAACGATTCGCTAGCTTCAAGTTTAGTTTATGTGTTTTCAACTGTCATAACATAAAAAACAATCACTTTGTTTATCCGTTATCGGGTCAACAAACGTGTTAAGGTTTGAAAATTATGGACCGAACGGTATTAAATTTAATTAGATACACGCAAAATTAGTGAGCGTATGGCTTGGTATCAGTATCCCCAGAACACGAGGTTACTCCTAAAAACAGGGTTGGTACGCTATCACTATTAAGTTACTATATTACTATTGTTTTTGTACAGTAGAGAAAATCACCCTATCCATCGGAGATGGATCGACCCTTTCCCTCAACTCCTAGCTTCTCATGATCTGAAAATGAATTTGGATGTTATTAAAATAAATTCACGACATTCCGGGAAGCTAAAATTGTACAATCTTTACGACGTGTGCCATTCGACCAAAATACAGTCGATTTTAGTAAGATGATACAAGTTTTATTCGGAAGGAATTTGACCGTACGATACGTCACTTATACTGATTAATGGAGTTTAATTTCAGAGTTATCCGCAAACTAAAATTGTCTTTTGAACTAGCTTTCTCTGATTGGGTTGGTTTTTTAAAAAAATGGAAGATTTCTAAAGTTAAAAAGGGCGATGAACGCAGTGAAGACTCTTATATAAGTCTTGATTTCTTTTCACGAAAATTTGAAGCTAATTCCATTATTGAACAGCAGTTTCTGAAAATTCAAATCAAGTTTCGAAATTAGATTTAGTGAAATAAAACTTTAACTATTGATCCAGTTCTCTTAAATGTTCATTTTATCAAAAGTGTCAATCATAAATGGTTTTTAATTCAAAGAGCTGCAAGGCTATTTCTTTATTTGCTTTGAACTTCTAAAGGTGATTTTTTTCAAGAAAAAAGGCAGTTTTTTCGAGTTCTTTGCTTTTGTGGACTCTTTTTTAACTGTATGTAGGCTATTTTTTTCCTTCGAAATTCAGAAGTCAAAACTATTGGTAGAATTTATTTGATTTCTTTGAACGAGTATCGAAAGAACAGATTTTTTGAGAGCTTCTGATGATGATGTAGAAGTTCTCACCAGACTTCAAATTTTCTGCGAATTGTTATAGTTAGAAGCTGTTGGAAATATTTTTACTGAAATCCTCAGGCTGAAATAATCAAAGTCACATGAATCGTCTCTCGATCTTAGATATGAGTCGGAGCACCAGAGAGACGCCAGTGAGCGAGTGTGCATGTTGACGGACAAACTGACGAAGCTGCTGGACGAGAACAAACAGCTCAAGCAGTGTGTCAGGGGACTCGATAGATCGGAAACACTGTGTAAAGGTAAAATCGAATTGAATGATATTTTATCAGGCATATACCTCCGATATATATGATATTTTTTGTAATAAAAATGGGATTTTGATACAGGTTTAGAACAAAATATCCTTGAAAAATAGATTAGTCAGGGTTGACGTATTTCAAGCGGCTGCTTCGAATAATGAATTTGAATAATGAAAATACTCCAGTGAAAGCAATATTCGAAAATGTTCCGGAATACCTTTGCATTTTTTATCCAAACATGAAGTTAGCTAATGCTTGTTTCTAGTTAATATTAGTAAGCAGTTCTCAAAGTTAGTTCGAACTCCATTCGCCACTTTCTTTAAAAAACGTTAGAATTTCATTAGTTGTACTTGAAAACCTCTATTACATCGTTTCCACAGAGGTGTAATGAATTTGACAATATTTCTTCCAGGTGGTAATTTGGTTCAGACGGGAGGAAGTGGTTATGACTGTGGTGTGGTGGTGGGGACTACATTTACTCTGTTCCACCAGCTGAGAGATCAGATCTCGGATGCGCGGATATTAGCCAAGACGGCCTCTGTCAGACTGAAGGACAGGCTGGACTGCGGACCCACCAACTCATTCTCACATCTAGTGAGTTCAGACATTGAAAGCATGAGGCCAATCGAAGATATCAATCTGAACGTGTTGTTTTTACTATATAATTCTTCTGCCAGTTTCACCCAAAATTATCCTTCAAAGATGAACGCTCAATAAAAGTGATCTCCTCTGATAAAAGTGAATAAAAATGACCAAGATATAAAATCTTTTTTAAATAAAGAAAATAAAGTTAGTTTCCTGGTTTTCCACTGCTTCGATTGCTGCGTGAAATTAGTTCTTTAACTTTAAAACATGTTTATTTTAATTGAAATTTAGAATTCCTCATCAAACTCAACTGCGGATATTCCACTGCTGGGATCCTTAGCGCGCGACGTCTCATCAGTCGCCAAAATACTGGAAGTATGCCAGGACTTCCTTCTCAAGTTCAAACGAGTGTACTTTGACCAAATGTCGTCTTCCATCCAAATGTCTTCCTACACTGGAGTCACCGCTGCTGCTACAACTGGTCACCACACTTCAGACAGTGTGAACAAACTCCAGAACCACTCGAGAAGTGCGCTTCTAACCGACAGTGCTAATGAACGAACAGCGATCCATTCGGGGAATGGCGCAGTTCCAGGAACAATGAGTCATCGCAGGGATATGTTGAATGGTCACTTACTGTTTTCAGCTGCCAAAAACAAACTAAAAGCTAATAACAATGGTCGTCTTAGCTCACACTACTCTTCTTCATACGTAAAGTGAACTCACTTGATTTCGTAACTTATTCAAAAAATAAAACTATAGAAGCAAATTATTTAAAAGCTATTTATGTGTCCATATGACATACGTGTTCAAAACCTAGCTTTGCAATATAACTTTATGTACTATTTGTGTACTTCGCAATACCTAGTTGCAGTCAATGCCTACTGTCTTCACCACTCGCTACTAATTTGTACTTCGTTTTGTCTAAATTTTCACAACTGTTTTTCATTTGATGTTAGATGTACTTAGTTATTTTACCATGTTTCTTCGCGTTCTATGTATTTATTTTAACGTATTCCTTAGCTGGTATCTTAATAATCTCTGTATTCTTCTGAAATTGTGTCTTAAATGTCGGCTTCCTGTTTACTTTTCATTTAACATTGTTATCGATTATTTTTGAGATAGATTTACTAATTTCAAAGTTATACGTCTGTATTTTTCAAACTAAGTCAGTATCAGACAAGTTGCTCGTGTGACACATTCTTTCTCATTTTTTTTAACAGTAAAAAGTAAAGAAATCATTTTCCAAGAATTAAATTCAAGAGGTTCATGTTGTACTATGCCTCGAATATCATTATCGTGTTTCCTCCGCGCAGGATGACTCAAGTTTCATCGGTCAATTCGATAATCGATAATATTTTTGATAAAACATTCAGCTAGACTGAAAACTACAGAAGGACCGTTAGTGCAATTTTTATCTATCCTGCGGCGGTAACATTGAATCCGTAGAGGTGAACAGCCTTCTTTTCTCATAAAGGAAAACCCTTCTGTTACAAAATTAAATGTCGCTTAGTGAAAAGTATGCGTTTTATGGGAACTAATAGTTTTAATTACGAAGTGAGTTTTCACTTATCAAGGTCGTAATTTTTATTTGTTTGTGCGCTCAAATTTTCAGTTGGTCTGTTTGACGTAGATTTTTTGAAATCACTTCGAATTAGTTTGCCAAATGGAAGACAAATACTCCTCTGCGACAGCAAAACTGCAAGAAGAAAGCAAATCGAACGCAATTTTGGGCATATTTATTTGGTTTTTGTTCCGACCATTGAAAATGGGGAGGAACTTTGGATTCGGGAGTTTTCGTTTTTTTTTTCACGCAAAATCAGCTACCACAAATAATCATGTGACAGGGTTGAGTGCAGGCGCGGATTTAGGAATTTCTCGGGGTGGGTTCGAAAATTTTTATTTTTTTAAAGGCCGACCAAATTGATTTTCTGAGCTCTCCCAAACTACTATACAGACCCTAATTTGACCAAATTTTGTGCGCCGCAGGCAAATTTTTGAAAGAAAAAGCCTTTTTAGGCACTTTTTGGCAAGTTTCGATCAAAAATTCGCGTTTTTTAAGCGCGCGCTCCCCCCTCTCAAAGTTATTATAGGTTGGCGCCTTTAGAAAAACTTTAAGGTCAGTTAGCCAAAAATGGATATCTCAAAATTGTACAAAGGGGGGCCCTTTGGGTCGGCAGGGGGGTCGAACCCCTGAGGAGGGCGTCCGCCCCCCACCGCTGAACCCGCTACTGGTTGATATATCATATTAAAGCCCTGTCAGTCGTGATTCGAACGACATTAAAATATTTGAAAAAGTTTTCAGTGTCGAGAAAAATGTGGCGGCAAAAATTGTTCATTTTGATCAATAAGCAGCCATTAAGAACAGCTAATGCTAATGATATTAACACAGACTATTATCTAACAAATAACACTTTAGCTTCAAGGTATCATGGATCTGTAGCGTGGAGGTAGGGAAGGAGACCAGCAACAAAATGAGAGGGTTCGAACCCTTCGCAGGGTCGGATGTTTATAATGAACTTTTTCGTATACTAGTTAAAATGCTTCACTTCTAGCAAATTGATGCATGTTAGTTAGTAAAATTTCTTTTTTTTTCAAATTGACGCGTACTGCTAATGCGTCATAATTGGCTTGCACCACTTAGCAATTATGTAGGCTCATAATTGTCGTGCGTCACTTAAGAAATTTTACTCATTCAAGTTTTCCTAGTAGCGTTATCGGTCATATTTTACTTGTGTATGCGAAGTGCAACTTCGCCTCTAAGTATGCATGGCTTAAATTTAGCATAAACAGAGTTTTACTCAGTGAAAGGTAGTTTTTGAATTTTATGTGCAATTTTGAGAATCAAAAACCTGAAAATTCAAGAAAAAAATTCAAGAATCAAATGCCGCAAAAAATTGTTTGAAATGTTTTTCAATTTGTTTTTCGTTTTTATTGTCATTTTTCTTCAAAAAAGGTTTTCCAATTGAATTATTTTACTATGAATTTCAAATATGCCTAAGTTCTATTTTTTTGTTCAGATTTTTTTATCAAAACATGCAGAAAAAAAGGACACCAATTTGAAAAAAAAACAATGTATTTTTTTAAAGACTGTGGTGGAAGCATTCTGTGCTACGTTCACAGTAATCGGCTATCCTTGTTCTTCTATTTGGGCTCGGTTACTGACGTGGGCGCTGCATTGCCAATAACTTGTTCAGTTATTGAGCCTTTAGAACGCAATTGTGCACTAAAGGGCAGATAATTCAATCGAAGAAGCTGTTGAGCAAAAAGGCGGGAGTTCAATTGGTGGCACGGTATCTGTTTTTTTTTTAATTTGCTGAATGTTTTTTCTCTGAGTGCTTTTTTTATCCACACCTCAAACGCACATGAGTAATAGCAGCTTCATTTTAGGGCATGGGTGGGCGGATGTCCCCTCCTGAAGGATTGGACACCCTCGCTCCCTAATGCAGTCCCTTTCAATTTGAGTTGTGTATCTGAAAAAAATATCACCCTCAGTGATAATCATTCACTATTAAAGAACCACTTCAGATGAAAACTTCAAAAAAAAATGTTTTGAAAAGCTATAACTATTCCATTTTATAAAGGTGTAAACAATGTACACTGTAGAGCACGTAGTACTGCATTGTGAAATTCTTTCTTCACAAAGCAGCAGTAGAACCCGTCTTCCTTTCTGAGAAATCGCGTGTTTGATTCAATGAAAACACGTCCACAGAACAGAAAGCAATACACATAAAAAAACAACGGGAAAAAAATCGAAAGATTGTTAGCCCACAAGACTCTGTGTTGACACCTATTTTTTCAGTATCATCATAAAATGTCTTTTAAACCGGAACAAGAAGAAACCAGAACTTTCTTGCGTACAGTTGACCACGCAAAAACATAATACTACGCTATATCAAAATTTTTTTAACAATTTTTGTTTGTGGACGTGTTTTGTCAAATTGAACATCATTTCATACAAAATGCTGAAGTTTTTTAGCTAAGGTTTTCTCAATGCTTAATTTTTCGCCTTTTGTTTCATTTTCCCTCTGCTAGCTTGCATTGCTATATCTGTGTGGTATCGCAAGTGGTGCGAAGCTCCGCTTTGCCTCCGTGTGAAACATGGAAAAATTTCGCAATTTTAATTGGGAGGCTCCTATTCTTCAACAAGCGGTTTATTTTTTTGGCGTGAAGTATTAGCAAATTTATATTTTTTCAGAATCGACTGAAACAATCTTTATGGTTCCTTTGCTTACAAAACTCATCCGATTACATTCAATAAATTTGTGATCAGTTTGTAAATTGTAGGGCTTTAAATTATTTTGAATAGGGCTTGCAGCGGTAAACTTCTATAATTAACCGGTTAACCGATGGAAAATTATCAGTTAAACGGTTCGGTTAATTTTTGATGAAAATAAAGATTTTTGAAGAGAAACTATATGCGAATTAATTTCGTTTGGTACTCCAAGTTATCTTGTAAAAATAAGCTGTCTTGTAAAAATAATATAGCTTCAGCAGTTTTGATTTTCAGAGACATTCTTTTCTCACAAAATTTGTTTCCAAAGTCACTGAGCAGTCGTTCGAAACTCGCAGAAGTAGCCGGATTTCGCAAATACTGTCAAGAATATTCGTGCTCCACCAAGCAATAGGATCGACATGCATTGCTTCTATCTGAAGTGAACAATATAACTCAAGCTTTTGTTGCAGAGTGACGGTTGTCTGTGGATAGTATTCGCTAGGCCAGAATCTTTGCCCATTAACTAGCTTAATTTCGAATTCGAGACACCACATGGCATATCAGCTTCGGCAGGTGCAGGTACTTTAACCTCAGCCATTGCTTCTCTCATTGATTTTTTCACATCAAGTTGAAATGAATCTGCAAGAAATAACAAGTCCTTAAATCTTGCAGAGGTCGCACATGGCTTTCCTGTCTTCTACTTCGGCAGAAAGGTTTCCATATCTAGTTTTTCTTGACCATGATCTGAAATTTGAATTGCATACATTTTGTAGACATATGTGTGCTTAAATAAAACAAGCAAAGGGTCCCCCTTTGCCCAAAATTCATCGGTTAATAGTTTTTTTATCGGTTAATTTGATAATGGTTCCAAAGAGAAATAGGAAAAAGTGTTTTTCGGCCAATCAAATCCCCTCTAATGTACGTTTTTTGGAAATAAGCAGTGAGCTCGTCTAATTTTTCGAGATCGTTTTGTGAAATATCCAGTTTGGTTGCCACACTGCATATTTCCTCAATGACTAGGTCGAACCCGATTTCCACTTTTGACTCCGGAACAAAACTAAGCGCAGGAATCATATTCAGCGCTAAAACTAGCTCGCTGTTTGATTCGTACGTCTTTTTAAGGCCCAATTCGGATATTTTTCTGGTAAAACTGACTGGGGCAAATTTTGAAAGTACCGTCTACAAGCCAGGTTTTGTTGTACAATTTAAGTGCATTGAGGTTCTCAATGTCGCCAAAAATTAATAAGCGTTCCGTATCTTGTTTTCCGCTATCAAAAAGACAAAATTGCTTAAAACGATCGGGTATTTCGAAATGGCGGTCATCTGTGGCAATAGTGGGCAGGGATGTTGTTTGTTTACTTCTGTTTAAAGTTCGCGTTAGCGCCGACCGGGAGGGCAAAGACAGTTGGGTTGCTTTTTCGTCCTGCACCAATTGCAAACTAGCTGCGATTATCTGGCTGTTTACTAGATTTAATTGACTCCTAACTGTCTCCTTCATTTGTTGAACTAGTTGCCGAGCTTCTGAGCGTCCTGCGTTGAGCTCATGACTATGCTCGTTGCTCTGTGAGATTATATCGCTCCCAGAAGTGATTAAAGTTTTCGGGCATTTATACGATCTCCATTTGCTGCAGCGCCAGTGTGTCGTTGTCTTCGTATCGCGTTTCTTTTGAAATTCATGGCCATCAAGAATAATCAGAGTTTGGCCTTTTTGTGAGGTTCCCCAAGTAAAAGAGTTCATTTTTGACTTATCAATGAGTTAAATAGGGAGACAATGAATGCAGAGTGTATACATTTTCAATTAAGTTGTTCTAATTCAATGCCATATTAACACTAAATTAAACACATGTTGGCACTATGTTAATCCCAAAAATGAGTCCAGTTTAAATTAAGTTATCTTAAATTTGCATTGTTTTTCAATAGCGCGAACCTAA